GTCTCCAGACCACATTCGACAAAGCTCCGCATGATTGTTGATCATTCTGCTGGATATTTCTCCCTCAATTCCATGATCCCCAAACATGAGGTACATGCTCATGTTGATACTCTCAAGCATCTTGGGAGTGCTTTGATTCAGGCTCGACACAAATATGGCAGGAATGTCAAACTTGTCCTCTTCAAGTCTGATGTATCAAAGGCTTACCGCCAACTGCCAATGCATGTCCTTTGGCAAATACGTCAAGTTGTTACTATTGATAATCAACATCATGTTGACCGCTGCAAACAACATTGGTAACCGGGGGGCTGGCCGCATATGGGGCACATTCTTTGGTCTTGTACTATGGATTGCCACATTTGTTAAGTTGTTGACTGATATCTTTGGCTATGTCGATGATAGCTTTTCATGGGAATTTGCTGATAAAAAAAACTTGGTATGGCCCTTACCAGAAATATCTCCCAACCAAGCAGACTGCACTTCTTACCTTGTTTGATGAACTTGGAGTGCCACATGAAGAAGAAAAGCAGCTGCATGGTTATATTCTCACCATCATTGGTTTGGATGTGGACCCAAATGCAATGACTATCACCATGCCTGATTCTTCCCGATTAGAACTCATCTCAGCAATCCGAAATTTTGCAGTTGTTGGATCACAACACTCATTACATGACTTTGAAAGCTTAGGTGGTTGGTGCAATTGGTCTTTCAATGCATATCCTTTACTCCGACCTGGCTTATCTATGTTTTATGCAAAGAAACATGGAAAAACACAGCCATTTCAACTCATTGGAATTAACAAAGCTTTATGCCGTGAACTCATTTGGATGGCTGAACATCTTGAACACATGCCAGGCATTCTCTTGTTAGATTCACTTGAGTGGGGTCCTCACCTTGCAGATATCTTGGTACAAACCAATGCCTCCTCTAAGGGTCTTGGTATTTGGATCCCACAGTTGGCCACTGGGTACTATTCACATGTTACAATGCCATCAGAAGAGGGAACCTTTTTCAATGAAGCACTAGCTGTTGTCTCTGCACTTTTGATGACACTGGATTTGTCTTCCAGACCCCATCGTATTCTCATCTACACTGACAACACAAACACAGTTGATATTTTTGACTCTCTACATGCCAAACCCCTCTATAACCCACTTCTCATCACAGCTGTTGATGCACTAATCACCCACAAAGCTCAACTTCGTGTCCTACATATTCCCAGATCTCAGAACACAATTGCAGATGCTTTATCCCAGGATAACCATGACTTTGTTCTTGCTCAGCATCCCAATGCCAGAATACATAAATTCAGTCTTCCACAACTGAAGTCTGGATCAGATAATGTCAAATAGTTTTGTCAGAATTACTAGTTCATTGTGAAGAGTCTATTTAAAACTTGACCTGGTCAAGGTGATTCTGTATGACTGTTAGTGTAATTTCATGTGATTGTACTATATGACTCAGTTCTACTCCTTATGACCTTCAATGACTCTTTACCAGTAGTATATAAGTAGTTGAGTAGTAGGAATTTGATCATCCTTTCTTATCCTCTTTCTCCCACTTGTGTGATTTCTTGTTAGTGGACCTGTGTCAGGCTAGAGAAATATACAACAGGAGTTGGACATCATAAGGGACCTCTATATAACTACTTAGTATATCAAGCTCATCCTTTAATCTTAGCACTTGACCTTGCTGTTAGCCCTTGTTGTGGCTAGATGCTCACATTACATCATTGATGTCACTTCAAATAAATCTCTCCAGTAGTTTGCTAGTATTTTAATTAAACTTGAGACAGCAGAATATTTATTGTGCCTCACATTCATACCCTGGTTAAGACTTCTAACTCATTGAATAATGACTGCATGCTCCCACCGTCATCCTTCCTCATTTTATCTTTCTGTTAGTGTTAGCGACCGATTACACAAACAAGATCAAACAACTAGGTGTGACTCGCACTTCGGTCAGGCGCCTTATGTTGCTCGCAGGTTTATGTGCAGGGAGCTATCGCTTAGTTGAGCGAGAGTGAGTTCAGACTAAGTTATCGGGTGAATAAACTTTAGTTCGAGACTGAGGTTTAAGACCTGCAGTCGAGCTGTTTAAATACAGTTTGGGTCGTGCTAAATATACTACAAGTGTCTGCAACGGTGCGTTATACGTACGAAACCCTCATGGATGGATGTGATCAAGTCCGGAGAATTAGCATAGCGGGATTACAAGAAAGCTGATAAGATAAGATAGAGCATGAAATCGTAATATTACCCCCCTGTTAAGGCAGTCGTCCCGACTGCAAGTGGATTTGGTTTGGGCAGATAGGCTCCCACCAAAGATGGTTCATTTGGTTTTATCAGGTATTCTTGTATTGCCTGTACCAAGGGATGATTGACTTCCGATTCTGTTATTGACTCTGTTTCTGACCACGAGTCCGATTCGTCTTTGTTCTCCCACCAGTTTGCGGGTGGTCGAGTGATAAACGAGACTTGTTCGAAGTCTTCGATTGTGTCTCGGGCGTTGTCCAGATCTTGCTCGTCTACCCAAGAGTTTTCCTCCCTTGGATAGCCTTTCCACTTGACTAGGTATTTGATGCCGGTGCATCGTCTTCGTCCCCTTCCTGTAGCTCTTTCCCTTCGGTCTACGATTTCTTCTACCTCATATTGTTCTTGGCCGTTGATGAGGTCCAGGGGAGGTGCTACGGGCTGTATTTGGATTGGGAACTCTGGTGGATGATATGGAGTGAGGAGGTTTTCATTAAAGCGATCATGGATCTTCCACAAGGGAGGGAGACGCAATTTGTACGCGGATGCACCATGTTTGGATAGCACTTCAAACGGTCCAACTTGTTTGTCTCCCAGCTTCTTCATTGGTCGGGGAAGGTGGAGGTTGGTGGAGTCTAACCATACTTTGTCTCCTGGTTTATAGTCCACCGCCGGTCGTTGGTGCTTGTCATATTGTCTTTTCATGGTTTCGGCTGCCTTTTCTAACGCCTTCACGGTTTGTTCATGGACTTTTTGTATGTTGGCTACAAAGTCTCTGGCCGCTGGGTTCGTTCCTTCTTTTATCGTGAGCGGCGCAAGGTGAGGCTTCTGCCCATGATTGATTTCGAAGGGGGAATACCCCGTGGCTGAATGCTTCCAGTTGTTGTGTTGGAAGGCCACGAGTGGTAGCCATTCGCTCCAGTCATTTTGTCGATGATTGATGAATATGCGAAGATACTTCTCGATTTCTTGATTCGCTCTCTCCGTTTGCCCATCAGTTTGTGGGTGATATGCCGTGGATGGGTTTCCTTGAATGTGTAGCATTTCGTACAGCTCCTTCATGAATTTGGAGACAAATTGAGGCCCTCTGTCCAAGATCACTTTTTGCGGCATTCCATGTTTTGCCCATACATGGTCCCTAAGGATCTTGGCCCATCCGGCTGAGGTTAATTCTGTGGAACATGGCACTGGAATGACTTCCTTGGAAAAGCGATCTACGATCATGAGGATGGCATTGTACCCATTGGAATCGGGCAATTCGCCTATCATGTCGACAGTGATGTGTTCCCATGGTCGAGAAGGTACTGCGTGTGGATGTAGCGGCGCTCTTTTCCATTGGGTGCTTGTTTTGGTTTGTTGACAAGCTTCGCATCCTTTAACGTATCTCTCCATGTCTTGCTTCAGTTTGGGCCACCAGTAATCACGCTGGACGAGTTCTTTGGTTTTTTCAATGCCCGGGTGTCCAGCTGTGATGTGGTCATGGTGAATGGCAATAAGTTCTCCCCGTAGTTTGGCATCTCGGGGAATGTATAGCCTTCCGTCGTAATGCATCAGTCCTTCTTTCTGGATGATCCCTCGGGGATGATGGAGGGATGCTTCTATTCCCTTGTCCCACCTGGTTATGTCTCGTAGCGCCGTTCGTATCTTTTTATGGATTTCTTCTTCCTCGGGCATAAGGAGTGCTCAGAACATTTCTGGTTTAAGAACGACCATTTCAGCATTGTCATTTCCTCCCTGTTCATGGTCCGACCTCCGGGATAGCAGGTCTGCCTTCTTGTTTGCGGTTCCCAGTTTATGGTGCAGGGTGAAATGATATTCCGCAAGCTCGGTTACCCATCGGGCTTGACGACGGTTGAGCTTCTGAGGTTTTCGGAAATACTGTAGGTTTTGGTGGTCCGTCCACACCTCGAAGTCTTGGTGAGCTCCCATGAGGTAGTGCCTCCAGTCTTCCAGAGCGAGCATGATGGCTAAGAGCTCTTTGTCATATATTTCATAGTTTCGTTCCGTGGTGGTTAGGGCTTTGGATAGGAACGCCACTGGTCGCCATTTTCCTTCTTGTTCTTGGGATAACACCGCCCCTATAGCTCCTTCACTTGCGTCTGCTTCCACTCGGTATTTTCTGGTGCGAGTGGGTATGGCTAGTACAACTTCTTCCGCTAGCTTTCGCTTGATTTCCTGAAAAGCGTTCTCTTGGGTCGTCCCCCACGTCCATTCCGCCTTCCCTGTGAGTTGGGTTAATGGATGCATGTGTTTGCTGTAGTCACGGATGAACCGGCGGTAAAAGTTGGTGAATCCTAGGAAAGACTGCAATTCTCGCTTCTTGACAGGTTGGGGCCATTCCGTGATTCCCTTAACCTTTATGGGATCCATGTGGATTGAGCCTTGACTGATGATTACTCCGAGGTACTCGGTTTCTAGTACCTCGAATTCACATTTTTCTGCCTTCAGGAAGAGGTTATTGGCTTGTAGAATGGCCAGTACCTCTCATACCACCTCACGATGTTTGTCCTTGTCTTTGGTGCAGATCAGGATATCGTCTAGGTATACGGTGACATCCCCTCGTGCGATCTGTTCTTTGAACAAGTCGTTCATCATCCATTGGAAGGTGGCCGGCGAGTTGGTGAGCCCGAAGAACATCACCATGGGTTCGAAAAGCCCCCGATTTGTTCTGAACGCGGCCTTCCACTCATCTCCCCCCTTGATTCGTACGTTATTGTAGCCCCATCTCACGTCCAGCTTCGTGAAGTATTTGGCATCTTTGAGCTGGTCCATTAGTTCCCCGATGAGCGGGAGTGGGTAACAATTTTTGATGGTTATTTCGTTTAACTTGCGATAATCTTGTATGGGCCTTAGCTTGCCATCTTTCTTTTTGACAAAAAAGAATGGGGAAGCCATAGGGGATTTGGAAGGTCTGATTCTTCCTGATTCTAGGTTTTCGTCAAGGAATTTATCCAGCTCTTCCTGTTCGGCTGGGTTGAGGGGATAGACCTTGCAGTCTAGGCTTGCGTTTGCATTTGGGATAAGTTCGATGGCATGATCCCATGGCTTTCGTGGTGGTAGCTCATCAAAGTTTTCTTTGGCGAAGACGTCCTGAAACTCCCGGTATGGTTCCGGTACTATTTCCTCGAACGTCTTTGTTTCCTTGGCTTGGTTTGCCTTGGCCACTAACTCGTTTGCTTTGCTCCCCATGGCACGAACGTGGAAGGCTTCTTCAAAGTCAATGATCAGGATGGTGTCTCCTTCCTCTACTTCTGTTCCCCAGTGTTGTTCAGGGTCATCGTCTGGTAGCATGAAGGGTATTTTGCGGCAGGAACATCTGACTAGGGATACGGCTCCGGTTTTCCAATCGACGATTGGGTTATGCCTTTTGAGCCAGTCATGGCCTAAGAACATCGGCACATTTCCCAGGTCCACGACTGCCAGATCGATTTTTTCATGGTGATCACCTATTGTCATTCGAAGTTCCACGATTTCGGTAATATCTCCTCCTTTGTTTCGGCTTCCGTCCGCATTGTAAACGGCTTGAGCTTTGTTGAGCTTCACCGTGTTGAGTTGATGTTCTTGCACGAAGGTCTGGTTTATGCAGCTTCCGGTACAGCCGCTGTCTACCAGGGCATCCACTGCTCGTACCTGGCTCGTATCCAGGGTTTTGAGCTGTACGTGGATATTGACGCTCCTTCCTTTTCCTCCTCGAATGTACTGCGGGGGAACCTGTAGTTCTTCCATATTCTGTAGGCATTGCTCCCATTGCCAGTAGCTTTCTTTCGAAGATCTGATGAGGTCTAGTATGAGATCTTCGTCCACCTCAATTAGCCTTCGGGGGTGTACCCACATGCGTAGGGTAGCAAGCTTGCCGTCCATGCTTTTTTCTTGTCTCATCTTTCTTCGTACCCACTCAGCGCTGTGTGGTTTAAGCCACCCTTTGTCCCACTTGTCATTATAATATTCTTCTTCCAGCTCTGTTACCTCATAGTCTTCTGGGTACTCCTCGGTGTGAATCACTGGGTCTTCCCCTCGTGTCTTGATACTTTGTTGGTAACTGTAGTCGTCTTCCTCATCGGGCACTTCTTCGAGAGAAACGGTTTTTTTATTGCAAATAG